TCACGTGCCTATCACATGTGTTGAGTGTGTATTTAGTCTTAAAATACCCCTTACTCACATTTCTATCCTTTTAACTCTCAATAGTTATTATGGTGAAATTCTGTTAAATATTTGAAGCCGAAGAATTTTGAAGAACTAGGTGACATCAAAGAGTCAAGTTTCCAATTACTAACATCAAATTCTCGCTTCAACCAACAACTGTACAATATGCTAAATTTCTTAGATCATATTATGCTGCATAAACTGTGATAAACATAAAAACCGTTAATATAATTTTAATAATGGTGTTCTACTCTGACTGGAAAACTGGATAACTTAATTATATATTGAGGTTCCGTCATCCTGATGACATTCCCATAAGGAGCAAAATGCATATCTCGTGTACACGTTCCATTATTATTTCTATAATTCCCTATTATTTATAATTTTTCTTTTATATGCTTTTAATGCCTATGGAATGCAAGAGTATTATTTAGACTTGTGGGATTGCATGTATGAAAATTGAAGTTGTACTACTTTGCGTAAATCGATTAATTCCTACCAAGAGTTCTCCGCTCGAACCGCATATCCTAATTAAGAGGGGAGGAACCTCGATTGTTCCACCCAAGGGCGTATTTAAGGGGTTTCATGGGGCACGTGAACTATCATGGGCGGCTTTCCAGCCATGCCCCATGACCCCTTGGACGCGCCCCATGGTCCTAGCAAGCTTCTCAGCGCCTAGTGCTATGGACGGCCCCATAGTTTTGGCTGCGCCAAATGACAAGCGCGCATGTGCCTCTGTCGCCCCACCGATAGCCCTCGCCGACGCCCAGCCGGAGGTAGATGCCAACAGCGTCGCGTGCTGATATGTGTCTATAATTAATGGTTTAGCACATTAATGCCTTGCGTTTTACATGCTTTAAGGTTAAATTACACTTTGTTTGAGCGTAATGAAGTCTATTTTATGTGTAGGTGCATCAGAAATGAAAGTAGAGCTAAAAGGATGCTTAAACGTCGAAAGTGCGATCAAGAACGGTGAAAAGGATAAGCCTGGCGAGTCCAGCTTAAAGCCAAGCCCAACCAGGCGTTAGCCTGGCGAAGCCAGCTTAAAGCCAGGCCTAGCCAGGTTGAGGCTGGCGTTAGCCAGGCGATGCCAGGCCTAAGGCCAGGTCTAGTCCGAGTTTTGAAGGTTTTAATTGTTTTCCGGCTTGACTAGGAGTTGACCTACACGTTTAGGGCTTGTCCCAAACATATAAATAGACCTAAAAATGCCACTTTGAAGGACCTTTGCAACCGAAGGCAAGAATAGCTCGTGGAACACGACATGGGAGTTGGAATCATTGATTTCTACATCTCTTTATCCTTACTCTGTAATTGAATTATGGAAATTACTTTGGATATTTGTACTATGAGTATGAGTAGCTAAACTCATAATCTAGGGTTTTGATGGAACCTGTTGAAGAATGACTTTCTCGTTATGTTAATATAGATTTTCCATAGTATTCTCTCTATTTGTTCAACTATATGCTTGTTGTTGTTGATTGAAGGGCCCTCAATTAACTGTTCCTATTTAGTGTGCATTACTTGGGAAAGAGTGCATATTTAGGTAGTTGTTGAACATCATCACTCCTAAAGTATATGAGGGATCAATACGAAGGGTTTAAATGTGGATTAGGGATCACGAAACCTTGGGTGTGATCTAAGTGAGATGTACTTAAGGCTAGCTAGCGTAATTCGGGAGAATATATCTAGTATATTGTTGTAACTACACGGGAGAGAGTTACGACAGTTAGAGTGCTCATGACCGATAGAGAAGACTTAGGCAAATTTATAGCAAATGTAGCGGAAAGAATTCCAACAATAGGGGAAATCAGAACCTTAGATCATTCCAATTCTTGTTTACAAACCGTTCATAGTTAGTTCTTAATTACTGCATTTTCATTACATAATATTTAGTTAGTAAACATCCAATCTGTTATTTAAATATCTCCAAAGATTGAATATGTGAATTTGTGTAAGTCCGAT